TTCGGTTGAGCCCTGGATGCCTTGTATGGAACTGCGGTAACACACTAACTTGCAAATTTTACTGAATAATTACCCTCTCCGGAAGTAATAGTTCACAATAGATAGCGAATGTCACGGCTGACAACACTGCCACATTTCAGCAGAAGAACACGTATGTGGCCAGCTGGTTCTGCGGAAGTTTGTAACTTGCTTGAGGATTGGATCTCGAAGTGTTTCAGCTCGCACAGCTACTACCGTAACTGCTTAATCATGTAATGTCTCGCTCATCAGGAACTTGACATCAAATTCGATATCAACAGAGGTTATGATGGCATCTTCGTGTTCTTGCTGATGGGAATCAATGAGGCGTGACAACACATCTGCTTGGCCCATAGCAACTGTGGACTGATAACGGATCTCAAAATGATGGCCCAGTAAGTTAAAACCCATCATTGGAGTTGATTGGCTGTGTAGGCCGAAATGCCCTTCTTCGAACCGAAAATAGGCAGTAACGACTTGTGATGTGTCAAGAGCTTGAAGCGTCGACCATACAGTATCTTGTGGAATTTCTTCAAATCAAACACTATGGCCAACGCCTTCTTCTCGATCTGACTGTAGTTTCTTTCAACTTTCGTCAGCGTCCTGGCGCCATGTTCGATGGTCTTCTGAAATTCATCTGGGAACGCATGTGAAAGTACGGCACCGATCCCCAGACTTGACCTATCTGTAGTGAGGACAATTTCGCGGGTCGGATCAAGGTGAGTCGGAAGTAGATCTGAACACAGCAATGGACTGACTCGTTCGAACGCAGCCTGGCGTTCGGACGTCCAATTCCAGGTTTGGCCTTAGCTCAGCAACCTGTTCAGTGGGGCATGCAGGCGATGCAGTTCTTGAAGAAAAGCGCGGTATTGACGTAGCATGCCACAGAATGTACGCAGCGATTGCAACTCCGCAGGCGGAGGTAGTTCTTGAACACCTCAAATATTTGCTGAACCAGGACGACGACAGCCTTTTGCGAAAATGAAGCCGAGGTACTTGATGGTGGACGTAAAAAAGGTGCATTTGTCTTCAATGATTCGGAAGTCATTTGACTGCATGCGTCCAAGCACTTCATCGAACTGCCCACAGTTATTCTGCAGTCCGATCCATTAAAATGATAGCATCCAGGTATGCAGAGCTTCCGGGAACTTTCGCGATCATGGTGTCCATCAGCTGCTGGAAGATGGCTGGTGCTGTTTTCACTCCAAAAGGGAGTTAGTTGTATTGACACAAGCCGCGATGAGTGTTGTTGGTCAGCAACTCTTGCTATACTTCATCGACACCGACCTGGAGGTAGGCATCAGACAAATCGAGCTTGGTGAAACACTTTCTACCATCTAACTTGACAAAGATATCCTCTGGTACCGGAAGGGGGTAGTTGTGATCATCCAATGCGGCGTCCAGGGACAGCTGAAAAATCGACGCAGACGCGCAATTTACTGTTCGACTTTTTCACAGCAACAATCGGCGCCGCTCATGAATAGCAGTTTATCGTCTGACAACACCGGCGCGTTGCCGTCGGTAAGCTTCTGATCAACCATTACCACGTCTATATACGGTACTGGTCTTTTGCTCTGAAGACTGGACTGATTCGTTCGATAAGGCACTGCTCTGCATTGAACTTGGTGCAGTGACCGAGGCCGTTTTCAGACATGGTGGAAATCTCTGCATCAGCATTCTCGTCATATCAACAATCGACAGTGATGCAACGAGTGGATCCGTTCGGACTCGACTGTAGATATGACTCATTGGAAAGTCGAACAGCCGTAGCTTTTCTATCCAGTCAAACGCAAGGAGGATCAAGTTTGGTCAGTCTGACAGGTAACAGGTCCTGGTGTGTTCCACTCCGTTGAAAGCAATTTTGCAGGTTATTTCTCCGATCCGCTTCAGCACGCCACCGGATGCGTTGTGGACGTCTACGTTGGATTCAACCCTCTTCGGCGTCTTTATGTGATTCCAAGTGCTCCTGGAAATAATCTTTATGTCTAAAGCCGTATTGACCTGCAGCCTAGTTGGAATTCCATTGATGAGCAATGATGAACCTGCAGAATGGTCTAGAATCGCTGTGAAAAGTGGCGATCGCCGATGGAGATTCAGCGCCAGGATTTCAGGGGTTCTTCCTTCGGCAGGACCGCTTCACATTCTTTGGCCGGGACTGATTGCGAAAATCTTCCTTCTGGTCGCGTTTATAGCACTAATCACAAATGTGACGCTTGTGGACAGTTTCGTTCAGCTCGGAAAATAGAACAAAATCAAAGTAATGGGTTTTCCTCCCGGTTACAATGGAAACAAGGCTAATGCCTTGCTGACCCTTATTGAAGATTGACACGACAGTTGACAGTCGCCAGTCTGAAGGCACCTCTTCACTGCTCCAAATCGCGTTAAAGGGAGTAGTAAATTCAGTCAGCAAAGTCATCTTCATTTTCAGCAAAGACGAAGCAAGGTCGACAGATCTAGGAGCCTTGTTTGTTACAAAACCGAAAATACGTGCAGAATTTCTTCTAAATCGGGAGGTGTAACATCCATTACGCACGTCGACTAAGGTGACAGTGTCGCAGGCCTGTTGATCTGCTCTTCAAAATGTTCCGCCCTACGGGCTAGTGGACGAGGGTGAGAATGCAAGAAGGAAGAAGGCATCCGCAGTACGCCGGCAGCAGTGCCGACGCTTCGATTCTGCGCAACCACCGTCAGTCGCAGGTGGGTTGATACTGCGAGGGTCGCAATGCCGCTACACAGACTCGGAGCTGCACCATCAGATTGCAAGATTAGCTCGCTACCTTTAGGCGACGCTGAGAATGGAGCAGCAGTCAATCTTTCCCAGCTGTCGTCTCACTAATCGATGCCCTTCAAATTCGGTCGTTACTGTTCTCCTTGGAAGATTATTTCACACTACCGACTGCGGATTCTATATTTTATTTGTTTTTTTTCAAGTCTCATCATTGTTGTCCTACTCCGTCAACCATTTGAAATGGTTACGTGTTACTGCCTTCAATCCGTGCTTCATCGAATACGGTCACAAAGTCAGGAACGAAGTAGGAATAAATGTCTTGGAAAAAAGCGAAAGCATCATGCTGACTGGCAATCTGGCCTCAGTCATTGTTCTGTCGACAGACCGCAAGTCCCATTGATACTTTCCAGCAATGTTCATCCACTTCTTAGTAAAATCAGTAATCCCAGTGCCATTATGCAGCTAAATGATTATGTTATTGCAGGAAGCATTCTGCTACAAGAAAGCTGGTTGCATACTGATGTGGAAATAGGGGTATAGTTTAACGTGATGGTTATTTTCCCATGAGGACTGCTCGGGCCCGGAAATCCCAGTTTCGTGGTGGTGACGTTGGTGTAACGCAGCAAACGTAATATTCTTATACTCAGCAATCTCTATAAGCTGCCATTTAGTTGAATGCCAACAGACGTTCGTAAGTGGCTTTCAATTAATCATCGCCGGAAACGTATACATTGCTCTTGACACATCTGCATCCGAGTTAAAGCCTTTTGAGTACCAAGTTTCTACAACGCTACTGCTTAAATTAGATTGTTCTGTCAGTATTGTTTCTGGCGACTTCAATAGAAAGGATAGAAAATTATTGAAGACACTTCGCTTGGTAGACCTAGTGATTGTTTCGACCAGAAAAGATGACCAATTGGACGCTGTGTTCACAAGCAAACGACAGTTGTTTTCCATACAAAAACGGGCTCCTTTGAGCAGCTCAGACGACTGTATATTAAAACTGTGTCCAGTCATCCACAGCATGTCTAACCTTTTAACGCTGACCAGACGTCCTTACAAGATTATCAAACGGCAAAATGGCTCCTTGGAAAATATCACGAGGCTCCAGACGATGTTTTGTTCAACTGATTTTTCGGTCTTCAACGACGAGGACCTGTCGCTCGAATGTGACCATCTTACGGACTACACCAAATATTGCTTTGACGTGTTGCCCAGTTGAAGCGATCTATCTAAGAGCAGATAGATTTTCATCACCACTACTAAAGCGGCTTCGAAGGATGAAAGAATAGGAAGAATAGGCCCACAAGTGCAAGAATGCTACCCGTGTCAAAAGCTTAACCACAGCAATTAAATCCGATATGAAAAGACTACACCAATTATATATCGAAGCCGTTCTAGGCAACCATAATTGTCGTGATCTATGGAGGCTTCTGAGGCAGCTCTGTAGCAAGAGCGTTTGCAGCCAGAGCGGTGAAGTGGATAAACTGAATTCTTAGTTTAGTTCCGCCTCATTAAGCTCATCTTCCTTGCTCTCCTTCATTAGAC